CTTAGAGAGGGCTGAAAGCCCTATGAAGCGGTATATAAGTCTAACTGCTATTGCTATTGCTATTGCTGCAGCCAACAGGCCACAATAAGAGCATTCTGTCCATCCCTCTTGCTGATTATCCTCTTCTTCTTTTTCCTTCCACATTCACCACAGAGTTTGGTCTTTGCATAGATGTCCAGGGTGCAGTAACTTGAGCCTGGTCATTTGTGCGTCAAGAAAGAACCTCTGGTTTACGTGTCCAATGATCCATTTGTTTGTTATCTTGGCTACAACCTTTTGCATATCTCCCCAATACATGGAGACAGTTGACTGGAGAGCTACCAACTGATAGTCTTGGCCAAAGCCAGCGGTCATCCTTATCATGTACTTCATGATATTGCGTTGCATTTTGATTTGCAACAGAGATAGAATTATTGCTCTTTGGCAAGGATCCAGAGAACATTTACTGAGCCATTCAATTATTAATAGAATCTGTAGGAGTCTTTATTGTAGAGTTCCTTCCTCCATCGGTCCCATTAACCTAGAAGAGTGCTTCTCAATCTTGGCAAGGTGCATGTGGAGTTGAAGTCCACACATCTTCAACTTGCCAAGGTTGAGAAGCACTGACCTGCGGATATCTCCAAGCTTCTGTTGGTTTCTCTGACATTGTCAAATCCTTCCCTGATTTGGAAATTATTATTTTTTTCCTCTGTCTCTTTATGCCCCTCTGTTCAATTGGCTGCCTGCCTGTCCTTCTCTTTGTCTGTCTATCCATCGGAGGTCATGTGACTGGGTAGAACAGGGGTAGCCGTAGAATGGCACAATCGTTCATGGAGAGAAGAGCAACAAAGATGATTAGGGAACTGGAGACTAAAATATATGAAGAACGGTTGCAGGAACTGGGTATGTCTAGTTTAATGAAAAGAAGGACTAAGGGTGACATGATAGCAGTCTTCCAATATCTCAGGGGTTGCCACAAAGAAGAGGGAGTCAAGTTATTCTCCAAAGTCAGGACAAGAAGGGATGGATGGGAACTAATCAAGGAGAGAAGCAACTTAGAACTAAGGAGAAATTTCCTGACAGTTAGAACAATTAACCAGTGCAACAACTTGCCTCCGGAAGTTGTGAATGCTCCAACACTGGAAGTTTTAAGAAGAGATTGGATAACCATTTGTCTGAAATAGTGTAGGGTTTCCTGCCTAAGCAGGGCTTGGATTAGAAGACCTCCAAGGTCCCTTCTAACTCTGCTATTCTATTATATAC